ACTTCAAATCGAAAGGTTTTGTGCATGTGAACAGATATCAGAACCACTCTAATAGCTCAGGCAAGGAAAACCTATTGGTTGTTCATTGCCCCTAGTCCAATTAGCTGCAGTCTGACTAACTGAAATTGCAGCAATAGCTGGTTGCTGAGCTGGGCCTGCGAGAGTAAAGAGTCTTCAGGAGCGTCTCAAACATTCTGTGAACAGAATCTTTGAATGAAGGAGCATCTGTCATAGGTACAGTAAGATGTTTAAAGACAGAAAATGACAGGAGCTACAAAGTGCACAGACAAATGAAAATCTTTTCAGGACTGACCCAATCTCTATAGGTTGCCCATTCTATTTGTTCATGAGTGGGAATATCTTTAGACTTAGCAGGTCTCTTAGTAGCCAAAGGGGCATCAAGTGCATCAGTGCCAAGGCTTTTGCACAAAGAAGTGAACATATCCACAATGGCAAGCAAATTGCATGAAGCTGTAACATAAGGTGCATTAGGAGGCTGCGGTGAGAAATCTTCCATGGCCTAACCTAACACCTCCTTTTGGGCCCATTTAATTTCCCTCTGTCTGCCTCTTCTAGAGCAGGCATATCGTGATCTCACTCAGGTAAAGACAGTGGGGGTGGAGAAGGGCCTGGCGTCTTCAAGCCCTAGTCAGTGATGGCAGTATTATACCTGTTAGTTGTCAGAGGACTTGTGACATAGCTGCAAAAAAGTCTGCTTTAGTCAAGCAGGCTGTGTGCGGTGTGTTTTGGATAGAGCTAGAATCGAATGCAGAGACCAGTGTTAAAATACGGCCTTTCAAAAGGTGCAGAAATGAAGTAAAAATACCCAATAAATTGTACGCAGCAACCTGGGTGGTGACCACAATGCACAGAAGTGTTTAAAAAGTTTACACTTGTATAACTGAACACATTCCAAAACACATTTACGGTTTCTTGATATTTTTTTACAACTCAAAGCAAACTATTGAGGATACACAAAATAGTGTAAAGCAAGCAATGGAGATATTCTGTCACATACTTTCTGTGGGACTACAGTAAAGGTCAGGGATACAGGGTGACCCTGTCTTACGAGCTTGTCACTGGTCCCTATATAGGGTCCATTCTTGCCCATCATGGTAGGCATATGCCCAGAGGGGTCTTCACTGTCTGGGTATCATAGGGATGGACCAAGGCCTAGGTCCTGTGAATGCCCAAGTAGGATCCAGTGCCTACAGCAGTATTACAGGCTGTTCTAATGGTGTGGGGTCTGTGTATGACATCAAAGGTTTTATCAAGGATGCATTACTCCGTTCACACTGCTTCTATTGCTGTATTAAAAGACAGTGAAGTGGTGACTGAAGAATCTGAAGGTAAATAAACTAGTTAACAGTGATTTCCCTGTAAGGGTGAAGCGGTCAATTACCTCACGACGCTAGCATGCGCACCCCCCCCCCCACAGTGGAATTTGGTTAAAGAAGGATGAAGGATGCCCAGGGGCATGTCCTCGGAAGTTTTGACAGGTACCATTGTATAGTCCAAAGTCTATGAATACTCAGTTTATGTCCTGTGTGATTAGGATACACTGGTACCATTAAATGATCTGCAACAAAAAACTGTTCTTTACAAATTCAAAAATAACACTTAAACTATTTTAAAAAATCAAAGCCAGGAGCAAGATATCAACCAAGAAAACATTTGCCCAAACTGTTTACAATAGAAAAAGGTTCCCCTAAAGGATGATTAACCAACTGCAAAGGTCATGTTCACGTCATATATAATTTGGCATTCTCCTTTGAAAAGCCATAAATAATGCAGCCAAAAATCAACCTGCTCAATCCCTACAGATACCAAAGTCTATCTTCATAATTGTAGTAGCATTAAATAATGCCAAAGAAACCATTTGCATCATATTAGCATAAGTAAGAAAAAAAAAAAGAAAAAAAAGAAAAATCCATTTGAATATTTTTGACTGCACATTTATGTGGCATGCATTTATATTGCAACCTACACTGCATTACAGACTTCAGACTGGATAAAAATAAATGCAATATTTACACTGGCCTGATCATGAGGCGATGATCCAAAGTACAGGTAAAGACCAGGCTGTTTTATTTGGAGTTGTTTGGCATCACTGGATAAAGTGTATGCACATGATATTTTATTTGCTTTCTATTACTCCCGGTTGATGAAACCACTTGACCCCTGGAAGGTTTTACACCCTTCATGACCAGACCATTTTTTGCTATTCAGCACTGCGCTACTTTAACTGGCAGTCATGGAACACTGTACGCAAATGAAACTTAGATTTATTTCACACAAATAGAGCTTTCTTTTGGGATTATTTTTTATTATATATAAACCAAAAAAGAGAGCAAACCTTTCAAAAAATTTTTTTTACTACTTTCTGTTATAAAACATATCCTGTAAAAAAATCTAAATCAAATTTCTTCATAAATTTAGGTCAAAATGTATTCTGCTACATGTCTGGTAAAAGCAAACCCCAAAAAATGCATATTTTTTGGTTTGTGTGAAAGTTCTAACATCTATATACTATGGCTATATACATTTGAAAATTAATCAGTTCTGATGTATTGATGGCCCATCTCATGTCCGAGGTCCTTATTCACTGTCATATTACAATAAATCAGGTGCAAATTTCCTCGTTCTGGGTGGACGTCATATGACGTCCTCCCAGTACGTGTGTTCCTGCTGTGGACGCGATGTCTCACCTGCTGTATACACTGGACACAACCGATGACCGATCATTGTACCGGCCTGCTGCTGGTACCATGTGATCGCTGTGACCAATACCAGCAAATCACATGACAATTGTAAACAATGAATGGCTTCAATTCAAGTCATTCACTGTGTACAATTGTGCTGCTAGCTGTGATTGGTCACAGTGATCACATGGTACAGACAGGGCCAATCACAGCCCATCTGTACCAAGTAATTAGCTGTGGCCATTCACAGATAATGACAACAAAACACACTGAATGAATTTATTTTATTCAGTAAAAATGCTTGCTTATAGCAATGAAATTCACTTTTCTAAGCAAAAAAATACTGATCACTTCAAGAGTAGTACAATGGTACTATGGCAACATTGTATTGCTCTGATAACAGCTTGTAAATAAAATCGTTAAGAAAAGAAAATTTAATAAAAAATTGCACACACACACACTATATATATATATATATATATATATATATATATATATATATATATATATAATATATATATATATATATATATATATATATATATATATATATACACACACACACACACACACACACACACACACACGTTTATTGTGATTCTTTTTTTCTTTTAATTTTTAATTTCTTAATTTTCCAAAAAATTATGACAAAAAATTACAACTTCAAGAAACTCATCAAGCCTCTTACTAAATACCTTGGACTGTCTACTTTCTAAAAAAGGGGGTCATTTGGGGGTATTTGTGCTGTCCTGACATTTTATGGCCTCAAGGCTGTCAGTACAAGATTAATCAATTTTCAGATATATTCCATATTTTTTGGACTTTATAACTTTCCTACAGACTCAACAATAAACACTGATTTGGGTTATTTCACCAAAGAAACGTAGCAGAATACATTCTGGCATAAATTTATTTGCATTCTGGCATAAATTTTCATTTGCAAAAACAAAAAAAAAAAAAAAAAAAAAAAAAAAAAAAAAAACAGTGGTGATTTTAATACCACCAAAAGACATCTATTTTTGTGAGAAAAAAAAAAAAAAAAAAAAAGATATATCTATCTCAGAGATGGTGGCCCACCCAAGGACACAATGTTTCAGGTTCTGGATCCACCTCGTTTATGACATCACATGTCGTTCGACTATACATGCCAGCAGCCTTGCCTACAGCAGTACCAACGAAATAAGCTATGTGCGATGTTACAGTATTTTAGTATGTTTTTTTTTTTAATGTGGATTTTATTAAAGTCTGGCTGTGAGCATTTGATCCTTTGTTTTTGACTGAAAGGAAAAGGTTCCTTTAGGAATCGGGAACTGTAGCTAGAAGTGTCTGGGATAAAAAAAAAAAGTGGTGGAAGAAAGAATCTGGAGTGCTACTCAAGCATTCTGTTTGTGAGCCCATTTGACCTTCTGTATTCACAGAGGGGACCTATATTGGGGTGCACACAACAGATCAGAGTGGTGGTGAAAAGAAGCGAAAACATCCAGTGGGGTTTTGTCACCATTACATTTGGGTACTTTGAGTGAAGATTTTTTTTTTTTCTTGGACCTTGTATTTTAACAGATTGGACTTTAGTCTTTGGGACATTGTTTCCTAAATCAGGGCTTGACAAATTTGCTTTTAATCTAGGAGCCAGCTAAAAAAAGTTAGGAGCCAGCATTTTTAAACAAAGCTTTGTTTTCAATGCTTTCAAAAATATATATTTTTTTGTTTGATATGCAAATCATTGTCAAAGTAAAAGAGGCATGTGTATTCCTGCTTGAACCTTGATGTGCCTTGTTTATTTCTTCCAGATCTGCGTAGTAAAAAAAGTGTGAAACTTTGCCTCTGTGCAGGAACTTACTGTAATAAAGACCAGTCACTGCTGCTCTCCCTTTTTCGGCAGAGTGATTGGTCTTATATCTGCCCCCTCCTTTTCTGTAGGCATTCTGTAGTGGGTGGCCTTGCTGGGCTTCATTCACACCTCTGATCAGGCTATGTACAGCACAGTGGAGAGGTTGTCACTACTTTTACTAGGCAATATCAAGTTTGCAAAGGCATTTGATACACACAAGTATATTTATATTCCCTGTGGATATGGAGTTATTAGCTGAGCTCACTACATCCTTATGCCAAAACATCACCACAGAAAAATGACACAAGTACTACTCAAACACAATAAGTATGTCCTTACTAAAAAAAAAAAAAAAAAAAAAAAAAAAAAACCAGTCGATGGAGATGTAAAGCCATGAAAAAGAACCAGAAGACATCACGTGCACACAGACATGCAGATGGAGACGGGCCACGAGGGGAAGTACTTACACATCATACCTCTGCAAGGGTGTCACTTTGTTTTTGTTCTTGTCAACTGTACCCGTAGTCAACTGTAAGAAGTTAGGGTTAAGTTTGTAGAGTTCCTGAAGCAACTTCTGTTCATATTCCTGATGTTTGCCCGCCTGCAACAACAACAAATATTACAGTGAAAGCGACACACATACAGATTAGTTGAGTTGAGATTGGGGTTTCTGTATACCTGTATTAAATGTGAGTTTCTGTTTCTGGATTTTCCCATTGCCACCACCGGTTTATATAATTAGGCTGGCCAAACATACAATTTTCTTGAGTTTTTTGCTTTAGATTTACCAAAAACCATTCAATATGAGGTCAAACCTAAACAACACTTTCAATTGTATCCAATTAGGCAGGCCCTTGATCTACATACTTTAGGAGAAATCTAAAGGAAATTGGACAGAAAAAATGTATAGTTTATGGCCAGCCTTAAGTGTTAAACAATTTTCCAGTCAGATCAATAGATCAGAGAGTTTTAGCACCACAAAACCTCACAGATTAACATGTTCTCCTTTTACACATCACCAATGAATCTGCATATTAAAAAGAGATAGCCAAACACAAAAAAAAAATTAATTAACAAAGTTTTCAAATGAACCACTAAGGCTGGCCATACATTATACAATTTTCTTGAGATTTTTACTTTAGATTTACCACAAAACCATATAATATGAGGTCAAATCTAACAACACTTTCAATTGTATCCAATTAGGCAGGCCTTTGCACTACATTGAAGGTAAATCTAAAGGAAATTGGGCACAAATTGGACAGAACATTGTATAGTGTATGGTCAGCCTTAATCTGTGGGCTCCCTTCAACTGTTTCAAAATGCTGCTTAACATTAAAAAAAAAAAAAAAAAAAAAAAAAAAAAAAAAAAAAAAAAAAAAAAAAATCCTGGTTGGAGAGCATCCAGCATCATCTAGCACTTTCTTCCCCTGCCTGACTGTCCTTGGCCTGCTTCTTTCATTTACTGGGTTTCAGTTCTTTCAATCATGGAGGTGCAGCACATGTGGTGTTACCTAGGGTGGTCTATATTGAAATGAAATCCACCTAGAAACAACCACACCTCCAGACAAACACCCACCCATCAAAACATTTTATTATTTGCATCATTGCTCCCAAGAGAAAGTCCACTGCAGAAAGAAAGTTTTTATTTTTTTCAGAAAGTTTTGCAAAACACCCTGCCCACCTCCTCACCAGCCTAAATCAGGCTGCATTGCATAGAGAAGAATGGGCACCCAATGATGACATCACTGGCCCTAAAATAAAGTAATGAAAACAGAAAGGTTGTACTCAAATGTTAATTAGCATGTTGATGAGGTGGAAGGGAGGGACCAGGGAAGCCAAATATAGGATGACTAAACTTCAACTTTAAAGTGGGTCTAAAGTTAAAAAAAAGTGTGCTTTTTTTTTTTACCTTAATGCATTCTGTGCACCAGGTAACTGAATTGTCCGTGTGCGTACTGGAGTTATATTATGCAGGCTTACTCCTGGCAGCCTACAAACGCAGTGTGTGCACATTGCAATTTGAATGCACCCCAAGCGGCGTACATACCCCCAAAAATTAAATAAATCCTAGTTAAAAAGGGGAAGGAGTTTTTCAGGTAGAAAAAGATATACAAAAAGACTGGTCTACCATCCAAAACCTAATTGTTTTTTTCTTTAAATAAAACTAGCATATCATTTGTGTTCAGCTTCCCTAAATCTCCACACAGCAAAAAGGACATGGAAAGCCTGCTTTGTGAGCCAATCAAGTTTGACTGCATTGTGCGTTTCATTGCATCTAAAGTATTTGGCTGTGGTTCAGCTTCCAATAAATGTACTTTCAATTTACAGAGCCCCCTGCCCCCCCCCCCCAAGGTGGTCACATGAAGATGGTTCTCTTACCTGCATTTCTTCTTTTGTGAAACTAGCCGCCTCGTCCCCCAATTCGTGTAGATACATACAGTCTGGCTTTGGACACTGCATATTTTTTAAGAAATAACTGCAGTATTTTGTTGTACCTAAAGATGCCTTTAAAAAAAAAAACAAAACAAAAAAAAACATTCAGCTAGGAGTGTAACAAAACATATCAAAATTTGGAAAGGAGGTCATGAAAATCACATGTGCCACATGAAAATAAAATACCTCAGGCCTTAATACCTTAAAGCAAAGCTAATCCCAACAATCAAACTCCCATATAATACATCATAAAGCACATCATACTTAATCCAGCTACTTGTACCAAGTTTCAACTGCTTTCCACAAGTAGTCACTCTGATACCACAGAAGCCTACACACACCAGACTTGAGCTGCATTAAAGTGGTCGTAAAAGAAAAAGTTTTTCTATTCTCTGAATAAAAAAAAAAACCCAAAAAAACAAAAAAAAAAAACCCACCTTCTGTATGCAGCTCAACCCCACCCCCCTTATACTTACCCGAGCCTGATCTGAATCCAGTGCTGTGCGCCCTAGAGCAGTGGTGGCTCTCTTCTTACTGGCCATAGAGGCAGCAGCGGAAGCCAATGGCTCCTACTGCTGTCAGTCACAGCTAGTGAGAAGGAAGCAGGGGGCAGAGCAGAGCTGTTGTGTCAAAGGACACACATAGACGGCTCAGGATTGAGCACATACAATTGTCCCCATAGCTAAGCAACTTGCTATGGGGTGCACTTGGCAGGGGAGAGGAGCCTGGAGGACCAGTGGGAGGACCAAGAAGAGAAGACTTGGGGCTGCTCTGTGCAAAACCATTGCACAAAGTAGGTAAGTATAACATTTTTAGTTTTTTTTTTAATGAGTTTTACAGTCACTTTAACCTAGGTTCACATCTGTGCAGGTGTGGGAGTGTGTGTAAATCACACAAACTCCACCACCCGACAGTCACAAAAAACACGCTGCTTTTAAGAAGGCATGCGGGGGTGCCATAAACTCTTAATGGCACCCCCATGCACTGAAAAACGCAGTATGGTTTCCAAAGAACCATGCTGTTTCTGCATGGCCGCATTTTAAAACAAGGATTCAGGGACTTTCCTGCAGGAAATGCAGGCAAAGCTGTCCACTCGAATGAATGGGCTGTTGTGCCTGCAAAATCATGGCACGCAGAGCTGTAAGGATGTGCACTGAGGCGTAAAAAATAATCTAGTAGTTTCGGACGAAATCTGTAAGTTGTCACTAAAACATGTGAGGGAATATAACTGGTTCCCATTAAAAAAAAATCACCAATGTGTAGGAATCCCTTATTAATCCACCAACTGAATAGGGTGGGTGTTAAGCCTGGGGTGCCAATGGTGTGTGAGGTGGCGCACTCTGGTGTGATAGTGTAGGGCATAATATAAAGAGGGCGTAAACAATTAGGAAGCCACGGCAATGACCCAATGGCTAAAGGACAGCAGGAGAGGGCTGCAATAGAAACCCAAGGGGGAACAAACCCTTTAGCCGTAATGTATGCAACCTAGGTAATTTAGGCCGCTTGGTAATCAGCCTGCAAATTGGGAAGGCCAACCCCACCTCGTGGTCTCGAGGTATATAATGTTAGTCTATTCATCTGGGACCTTCTATTACCCCAAACAAAACTAAGAACTTCAGTTTTCAAGCGCTATAACTCACTTTTTGGGACTGCTACTTGAAGGGTCCAAAAATAATAAAGTATTCTAGGCAGAAATGTCATTTTAATGGAGTTAATTCTGCCAAACCATGACAAAGAGTAATCTGCCCAACCACGAAGGTCTGCTTTAAGTTTCCGAAATAGGGGGATAATTAGCTTTATATAGAGTGTCAATGGAAGATGTTAGATGAATCCCCAAATAAGGAAGAGATTGTAGAGCCCATTGAAAGTTATATGTAGTCCGCAGTGTGTGTACCACAGCATGGGGTAAAGAAACATTAAGAGCCATTGTCTTTTGGGGATTCAAGGAAAGCCCAGAAAGCTGAGAAAATTGCTGCATTAAAGACTTTAGATTAGGCAACGTCTCCTTAGAGGCAGTAACATACATGAGCACATCGTCGGCAAAAAGGGCACATTTGTGTTCTACGAATACCATGGAATCTAGGGTGAGAGTGGATAGCCACTGCTAGGGGTTCAATAGATAATGCAAAAAAGCAAAAGGGGAACGGAGGCAACATGCCTCGTCAGATAGGGAAAGGTGAAGACCTATGGCATCTAACAGAAACCTGAGCAGAAGGGGAACTATATAGGACTATTAACAAAGAGAAACATAGGGCCAAACCCTAATGTTTCCAGGGTAATAAATAGTTCCAGTTTAGGCCAGCAAAGGCCTTATGTAAATCCAGGGATAGAAGCAAGAGATCCCTAAAAAGGGGAAGTCCTAATTTGATCTAACTGCTGAAATAAGAGTAATAGAGCAGCGGATCTGGTCTAGGGTTTGGCGACCAGGGATGAAACCCGATTGGTCATTGGTCATAATGTACTAAGAAGGTATTAAGGTGTAATGCTAGGAATTTAGTAAGAATTTTAAGGTCACAGTTAAAAAGCGATATAGGGCGATAATGAAAGAAAATCTGTCATGTTGTTAGGTTTTTAGGGATAACACTAATGTATGCTCTATTCTCATCTAAAGGAATAATTACACCATGCCGTAGCACAGTAAAATACAGTGTCATATGTGGAGCCAAAAAGATCAGAAAAAGACCATCAGGACCCAGAGATTTATTAGAAGACGTCTTTATGACCTTCTGAACTTCCACGCAAGAAAAGAGCCATTTCATAAGGTCCCTATGGGCTTCTTCAAGCGGTAGTAGCGGCAGTGTCCCCAAAAAATCTCAAATAGTAGAAAAAAACAGTGCCTCGTGGTGGACTATATAAAGCAGAAGTGTGGAATTCTTCAAGAACCTTCTGAAGATAGCGCACATCAGTGGAGAAAAATCACTTATTTACAAAATTTTATAACAAAAAAAAACTAAGAAAAAACATTTTTTTTCTTCAAAATGTTCAGTGGTTTTTGGTTTAAGAAAAAATAAAAAACCCAGAGGTGATTAAATACCACCAAAATAAAGCTCTGTCACAAAAACAATGATACAAATTTCACATGGGTACAGTGTTGCATGACCGCGCAATTGTCATTCAAAGTGCAGCGATGAAAGCTGGAAATTGGCCTGGGCAGGAGAAGGGGGAATAAGTGCCCTGTAGGCCCGTGGTTAACATTTTTTTTTACAAGTGATCACATACCCTTTGTTCTCAGCTGCATAAGGAGCTCAGAGAACCAGGGAAACTCAGAGAGCTATTACAGGAGAAACAGCAGCACACTGATCTTCCCAGTGAATGCCTGTGCGGTGGGGGGTGCTCAGCAGAAGTCTAATTATTGGAGGAGAGCAGGCTTAGCACAGCTAGAAAACTGACCATGCTTTGCTTTCATGCCTAGGGTGGTCCGGTTTTAAACAGGAAAGAAGGAGGGACTGCCAGGAACACCTGATATTTCACATAAAGGAAGAAATAAAAAGAGAACAGTATACTTTAATACAAGTACATGGTACAGCAGACACATATCAGGAGTGTGAAATGTTGGGGGTAACATTATTTTAAGCCCCACTGGTTCGTCCCCTGGGAGGAATATGTAGCTGCTGTCTTTTTGAAGAAAAAAAAAACAAAAAAGGCAAACTTTTAAAGGTATTCTTTAATTAGTCTTATCTACAAGGAGGTCCAGAACCGTGTGATGTCTGCATTATGGGACTGGTTACACAGAAGAATAAATACTGCGGCATTTGTACTGACCAATAAATGCTTTGGTAGAAAATTATATTAATATTAATACACAGCTGATATGCATGTTGATTTTTTACTTGCCAGAATTTCAGTACTCTCAATTCCTGTTCTTAAAGAACATCACACAATGCCTTGCCAACATAAAAGATCCGTGACTCATAGGCTCTGCCACTATGAACGAACATAAGGCTTGATATCTTGCTCGATGCCAGGGACACAAATCTCAGATGAAAATAGCATGTTGTTGTGTTTCCATTCATTGGTGCTACCCAAGGCCTCTGCCATTCAGTCATATCATTATGACTGGACAAAACCAATTTCCAATACACAGTCTGCAGGTCAACACAAAAACATGCCTTTAACAAGGGAAAATACTGTATTTTCTGCTTGAAAACAGAAACAGCACCTCCACATTTAGAGGCAAGCCATCTTTTTAGCCAGTGAAAGGAATGGGGTGTTTGTGCTGAGCATTTTCAAAAGAACCAAAATAAGCCTACAATCACAGAGATCAAGGTAAGAACAACATTGGCGTGAGACTCCAGAAGAGAGTCTAAGTGCCGGTTCACACCAGATGCAGTCCAGTGCATTTTTTTCTCTGCATCAAAAATGCATGGACAGTAAGCTATATGGGTTCCAATGGCCTAGTTCAAACCTGTACGATTAGTCCAGTGCAGGAAAAAAAAAAAAAACAACATGCTGTGTTTTTCTGCACTGAAATGGCCAAAATGCATCAAAAACACACTGGGAACGCACCAAAAATGCACCGGAGACACCAAAAATGCATCGGAGCACACGTATCTATTTAGGATGATGAAGAAAAAAAAAAAAAAAAAAAAAAAGGGAAAGGAAAAATGCACCAGAATGTTTCAAAAATTTGCACGCACAAACGGATATGAACTGAATTTCTATGGTGTGAGCTGGCCCTTAAAGCAGACCATTGCCACTACTAGGGTGGGCCGGCACTTACCATAAGGTTCAAGTATGCACAGCATTATTGTGAATTATGGCACTTATACAGATTTTACATTTGCATTCCTGCTGCTGGCAAGATTGCTGTGTAGGACACGGCAGGCAGGTGAACACCTGCTTGCACACACTGCTCTCTTGCCGGCTTAGTAGGCATTACTCTCACCCATGAATAAGAGACACAAGACAAAGTAGGTGAGTGCTCTCGCTACATATTGTAGAAATACTGATTGCTGCTGGGTTCTCGCCTGTGCCAGGGTCGCAACATCCCATGCAACATTGGCCTCTTTCAGTGTTCATCTTCTAGGTCTACCCCTGGGCGGCCAGAGATAATGTCACTCATCCGCAGGTGCACTGGAGTTACATCAATCTGGCACCTAGCTCCATTCTCTTACAGATGCTGGGAAAGGATGGTGTACTGTTCTGTAGGCAGTGTAGACAGAATAAAAGACCCCTAGAAACCAGAAGAATCTCGTCTCATCTGCCAAAAAAAAAGCTCTACTTAAAGCTGAGCTCCAGGTATGACCCTTATGCCATTGTTTCATTGGTCCAGCTGGTATCTCATAGCTGAGGGTTCACTGGGAAAAATTGATAATCGTGGTAGCAGCTGGCTCTACTACTGATTAGGTTTCCCTCTGAACACGGACAACATAAGGATAGGAGGGTGGTTGCGGGTTGGGTTGTTTTGCACTGTTGCCATTCAGAGAAAGCCTTGTATTTTTATTTTTTTTCAGTGAAAAGAAGGCAATCTCTGATTGGATGAGATTTATTATACCCTTTAACCTACCCCCTATTCACTATCTCTTCCTGTCCACTCTGTATTCACTGAAAAAAATGGCACAGGACCAAGAAGATGGCAGCTGTCACTGCAGTAGCTCCAACTTCTACCACAGTGATTGCAAGCTTCCCCAGTAGACCCAAAGATACGAGCCATGCATACTTACACTGTTCCAAGCTGGAATAAAGAGCATACGTGGAGTTTAGGGGTTTACGTTTGGAGTACAGTTTTGCTTCGAGCTCACCATTCATGTTACAATCTGACAGTACCAACGTTTTGCAATCTCCTTTAGATTTATGAGGACCTGCTTAAAACTATACATTAAAGGCTAACTACGTCTTTTACACAAATGTTACGCCCATATTAAGGGCGTGGTTGCAGGGGACCTGGAACTCTTATTGGCCATATTTTGCCCCGTTTCTACTGTGTGAACAGATTTCTTCATCTTTTTTAAACTAGAGCAGGGCTGTCTGTCCTAACAAAGGGTTAAAGGTTTCCAAGCCTGGCTAGTTCCTTGGGGGGGGAATTTCCTAAAACTGGAGCAGACAGAATCTGGAGCAGCTAGGCATAGTATCCAATCAGCTTCTATCTTCAGCCTTTTCAGTTAAAGGCACAGTTCACCTTTACCAAAGGACTGTGCAGCTTTGACCAAAGTTGATAAATGCCCTTGCTAACATTGTAGACCATTTACATACCTCTTGAAGCCTGACTGAAAGACTGCAAGAGATGGCATTATCCAGTCCCGCCTTGTTGCTAGAGAACATTGCTAAGAGATTCCCAGCTCCTACGGTGTTGCCTCCACCATCACAAGCGCAAGCTCTTACTGAGCTCAGAGCTACCGCATCAGGGGAGATAAAGCGCATGCAAGGGTTTGAGGTTTCCCAAAAGTTTCTGTATTTTTGGTTTTCAATACAATGTACAACCAATATAAGCATGGAGAACAAACGTAGAATTACGCGAGGGGGTTTCTGAATCAGAGAAAGAACTCACTTGTGTGATGATGGAGGTGAACAGTAAGGCTAGGGAGTTTCAAATCGCGGGTGGAATCTCTGAGACTCCACGGATGGAATCTGCGAGACTCTCCAAGCAGAATCTGCTCACGATTTGAGTGAATGGAGCCTAAGAGGTAGGAGACTCTTAGCAATGTCCAAGCAACTAGGGAGGACAGGATGATGTTATTTGTGGGAGTTTTTCAGTCAGGCTTCAGGATGTACATAAAAGGTCTACACCTAAAGGAAGGGCATTATTTAAAGAGATACTAAAGGTTAATTTTTTTTGGGAAAATAACCAACATGCTGTACTTGCCTACTGTGTGCAGTGGTTTTGCACAGAGCAGCCTGGATCCTCCTCTTCTTGGTCCCCTAGCAGGCTCTCCTGGCCCCTCCCTCCTGTCAAGTGCACCCCATAGCAAGCAACGTGCTATGGGGAAACATGCTGCTCTGCGTATCCATTAACACATTGAGCTGTGGCCTGGCACAGCCCCTCTCTCCCCTCATTGTCTGACTGGCTGTGATTGACAGCAGTGGGAGCCAACGGGGAGGCAAAGAACCAGGACAGCCAAGGCTGTTGTTCACATTACTGGATTGCGATGAGGTTCAGGTAAATATTGAGGGGGCTGGGAGCAATGCTGCACACAAAGTTTTTTAACCTTCATGCATAGAATGCATGAAGGTAAATAAAACCTTGAGCCTTCACAACCACTTTACCTTTGTTAAAAGCTGCACAGTTTGTTTTATTTACAGGCACCTCTTACCTGAAAGGCAGTTTTTTGGTAAAGGTGAACTAAGCCTTTGAGCAATGGAAATATCAGACTAGAAGCGAAATTAGTTGCCATTCAACTGCTTCAAATTCTGCTGCTCCAGTCTTAGTAAATTCCCCTCATTGTGTCACTGCACCTTAAAAAAAAAAAAAAAAAAAAAGCTACCCCACATTTTTTTTCACTATCAGTATAATTTAATTTGATAGTTTGTGAGAGTGTTGAAAAGCCCCAGGTTTTTTTTTTTGTTTACTGCTGTGCCCCCCTCCGACGAGATTCACTATATTTGCCTTGAAGACCACAGCTACAGAAAATGATGGGAAACTCAAAGTTTTGACACTAGACAGTTGGTGGGAGAAATCATCTATACTGTTGTGTCTTTAGTAAGTGGACCTAGGAATAAAATCATAAAAAAAATAAACAGATGTTACCAAAACATGCTAACACAGCATTAAAGAATTACAGACAAATTTTTTTTTCCCATGCAGTGGGGCTAGACAAAAACGAGCGGTTAACCCATGCAGTGGGGCTGTGCCCGCAC